TGGTCTCCTTCTTTGAATGTCTCGGCTGCTCTTCTCTTCTCGTCTGTGTATTTCTTATGCCTATCCTGTTCGCGTTCGTGGATTTCGGTGACTTCCTTCATTGTGTCTGCTATTTTTAGTAAATATGGCGTCAGTTCCGATATGAAGTTTTCTCCGATCACGATCTCTCTCAGGTCGCGTTGTACTTCACCCGGGTTGCGCATTTCTCTCCCGAAAGTCAGATATGCGGGAGTTTTTCCTGTCGATAGCGATTCGCTAGTATTCATAGCGTATCTGATTGAAGGTAGCTTAGAGGCCCATTGGTTATGAGACTTCCCGACGAGGATGGAGAGTTGTACTTTTAGGTCTCTGTTCTTTCTCTCCACGGGGTTCGCCTCTGGATGATACACAGGGGTTAGTGATTGGTCGAAATTTAAGCAAAGTGATACTTGTTGCATTACTGCTCCCACGAATTGCGGCCCGTTGTCTGAAATTATTCGGCGTGGAACCCCATATCTGAGCATTACTTCGTCGACGAGGGTTCTGGCGCATGCTTCTGCAGTGGCTCGCTTCAGAGGGAACAGCTCAACCCACTTTGTTGCTACGTCTTCGATAATAAATATCCATTGTAATCCTTCCTCCGTAGTTGGTAGGGGTCCGAATAGATCCATGGCTAGGACTTCGAATCTTCTGGTCGCGGCTGGCGTTCTTAGGAGTCCGGCGGGTTTTAGATTTGTCGGTTTGTACCTCTCGCATTCGACACATTTCTTCACGTGATCAGTGACTACTTTCCGCATTCCTGGCCAATAATACTTGTTTGTTATTCGTTTTAGTGTCTTTTCCACCCCGTAATGTCCAGCCATTGGAGAGTCGTGATTCTCGTACAGTATACGTTTTATAGCGCATTCCGGAACGACCCATTGAGCTTCTTCGGCATCTTCCGTCGGTGTATAACGGTATAATACTCCATCCGTCATTAGGTATCCGCGTGAGGTCCAGTTTGCCGTGTGTAGATTGTCCTTTGTCTCAAACGCT